TTTTTCATACCTAATTTCCTGTAGCTTATCCATGAGTTGAATTAGAGACCAAAAAGCGGGAACAGGAAATGCATCTGACCCTTCTAAGAAGCTTGGATTGGAAAGGAAAGAGAGCGAGAAGCAGGAGTTAGAGGGATGGGCAACTTCAGAGAGGCTGTTTTCTTAAAGTTGGATGAGACTTAAGGAGAGAGGGAGAACATGCTTATGAGCCAAGAGAAGCCAGACGGAGGGAGAGGATCACAGGGACTGAGCAAAGTTGTTGAGGAGGCAGATGGAGAAGCAATGCAGGTGAGTCCCACTGTTAGAGGCCCAGCAAAGTGTTCTTACTCTAGTTTCTATCCATCAACTGATGAATATCTCTAAGGCAATTTTTTTGATAGATTCAGCAAATTGGGTAGAGACCACTTCCTCTCATAGTATGTTGGAATCCCTGGTGAACACAGATAGTTAACATGCTGCTAACTAAACGCTGGAAGTTAGAATCCACTCAGAGGCGCCTGACAGTAGCCTGTCAATCTATTCCAAAAATATCACCCATTGAAAACTCTATGGAGCATAATTTTACTCAGACACACATGAGATTGCCATGACTCTAAATTGATTTCAAAGCAACTGGAACCATACTATGATAAATATGTAAGGTGTTCCCCAAATTTTTAATGCATTAAATTGTCCATCTGATCAATAAGCGACCTTCTATTCCTCAATAACCATTCTTTCTTTTGCCTTACCAAACCCCAAACCTATTGTTGTTGAGTGGATTGTCACTCATAATGACAGTAGAACTGCCCCATAGGGTTTTCAGGGCTATAAATGTTTACAAAAGCAGATTACCACCAGCCTTTCAGTTAACAGCCACCAAGGCTCCTTCTCTTTTGCTCACAGGGAATGAAAGTTGAAGCTAATTGAAGCCCTTCCGAATGTTGCCCACATCTTGGTCTCTGGGCTCATCTCCTACTGTTTCTGCCACGGCTGCCCTCTCCAGCCAGGCTCCAGGTTTGCTTACCCACAAACATGCTCTGCTCATCCTGATGCTTTTGCCCTGCTCTTACGCTATCACTGTGTCATCCTCCATCCTTTCCATACAGGGGGTGAGAGTAAAATCCAACTTTATCACGGCCTCCAAGGCCCCATGTGATCTGCCTTCTGTCTGTCTTTCCAGTTGCATTCTCAGCCACTTTCCCCCACTCTCCTGTTCCTCAAAGTGCTTTCCTGCCTCTGGGCATTTGCCTTTACAGAGACTGGGTGGTGCTTTGCTTTGCACTTTGCGCAAACTGGCTCCTTCTCATTCTCCAGGTCTTAGCCTGAATGTCACATCATCTCATCTCATCAGAAGAACTAGATCTATGTAGAGTTATGTAAAGTAGCTCCTTCACCTAGTTATTAGTAATCATAGTACCCCTTTTATTTCCTTCAAAGCATTGATGATATTCTGTGCTTATTTTGTTTATGTTTATTAATTGTCCTACCCTTCCCTTAATAGGATGGAGGCACCATATGGAAACTCAATCTGTCTCCTTTTAGCCAGTCTCTAGTACTGTGCTTGACGTGTTCTTTATAAATACATTCCAAATGCTTTTGAAATGAATGGATGAACAGCTACTCCATAGGCTCTAGATCCAGGTTAAATCCCACCTCTGTAATGAATAGTAATACCTTACATGCATTGACTGCTCACTGTTTCCCAGTGGTTGTATATATTATTTCACTTAATGAGGCTTAGCATTTATCTCCTCTCACTCCTACAGTACTTATTATCCAAGCCATTCATTCTGTATTTGGTCATAAATTCATTTCTTGCTTTATTTCATATATTACATGAGTCATTCTTTTTGCCCTAACAAAATACAATAGCACAGTGACGAAGACAGAGGTGTTCAATGTGTACTGAATGACCACAGATGTCCCCTCAGGGTTATAACACAAGCACAGTAAGAATGTCGATAAGTTATCTTTGTTATGTACTTTGAACAGAAACTCCTAGCTATTATAACTATAAAGATGTCAAAATGGTTAATGGAGATAGTTTGAGTTTTGAGATATGAAATGTCCAATTCAATCCCCTCATTTTTCAGAGGACTTTGCTAAAATCTTAACTTTCTGGAAAGGGATTGTCTAATCTGCAAAAATTACCTACAAAAGCAAGAGATTTCATTCTGAAAAGTCACAAGAAAATGCTGCTTGTTGGGCTTTGAAATATCTGCTTTACATTTCTGGTGAAACCCAAGCTAAAGAGCCCTCCAGTGTTCATAGAAACTTCTGGAGTCTCTGGACACGCCCAGGCAGGGCTCGGAAAACTTGGATCTATCTTGATGCCAACTGCAGGGAAGAGGATCTTCCCAAACTCGAGATGGTTCTGCGTCTGGACATTCTGCTCCTGCAGCTCATCCTGGGCCTCAGCTGCAGCCCACGCCTCCAACTTTTGAGCTCAGAGAAAATAGGAGCACCCTAGGCTCCAAAGAGTACTCCCTTCATTGTAAAAATGACACAGGGGCAGTTGGCTTTGTTTTACACCACCTGGGTGTGGCTCTCCAAGGCAGGGAGTTAGCTAGGAGTCCCCTACGGCTCTTACCTCCAGCACTCTGTCCCTAAGAGCTCTGAGACTCATTCCTGAAGTAATTTGGGGCCCTTAGTACACCCAAGTGCTGTTTTTTTTCTTGGGCTCCTCCCTTGGGCAGATGTGTGCAGTCAGGAAAATGTGGTTCAACTTGTCTCTCCCCTTATGACGGGTCAGCCCAAGCACCTGTGCTGTTGGGTGTGCTTCCTTAAGGAGAGCCTCCCTCCGATTAGAGAGGGTGGCTTCTCTTAATTAAATCTTAAACTCCACAGACCCAACTGCTCATTGCCCAGTAAAATCTGGGCAATGCTAAACTTTTCCAAGTGCTCTGTTTTTTAAAATACATTTTATTTATTGAAATATAATTTGTGTACAGTGAAATACACAAAACTAAATTGACATGGGTCAATGCTTTTTTTTTTTTTTTTGCAGCGGTCCCTCCCTGAGGACTGTTTTTTTAGCTTCTTCATTGGCAGACATAATTAAATCCATCATTCTAATTACACACATTTTCCATTCCAGCTGCTTGAAGTTCCTTCCCTGCTAAATGATTTAGCAATGATCTCTTTGGCCACCAACTGCCTCCCCCAGAAATGGCCTGCTGGAGTGGCCTGTACTTCTGTCATTTTACAGAGTCTCTATAATTTGGGAGCTCTGGTGGTGTAGTGCCTAAGGCATTTGACTGCTAACCAGAAGACTAGAGATTCAAACCCACCACCCACTCCTCGGAAGGAAGATTGGCCAATCTACTTCCACAGAGATACTGCCTTGGAATCCCAAGGAGGGGTTGCTATGAGGCGGGACCGATTCCATGGCAGTGAGTTTGCTTTTTTTGCTTTTGATAATTTAGGAAGATCCCTTGCCATTTCCATAATGTCATGATGTAGCTAACTTATTTACCTATAGGAGTGGAATATGGCTATCTTTTCTTGTTTTAAATTAAGACTGCTGAGGACAAATCTCCATCATTTCACATGCATGCGAAAGCTGGACAATGAGTAAGGAAGACCGACAAAGAATTGATGCCTTTGAATTATAGTGTTGGCAAAAAATACTGAGTATTCATGGACTGACAGAAGAAAGAATAGATTTGTCTTCGAAGTACAGCCATAATGGTACTTAGAGTGAGGATGGAGAGACTTCATCTCACTTACTTTGGAGGCCCACATCATGCTTGGTAGAGAGTCAGTGAAAGAGAAAGACCCTCAAGGAGATGGAATGACACAGTGGCAAGGCTCAAACTTTACAACGATTGTGAGGATGGCGCAAAACCGACCAGTGTTGTACAGAGAGTCGCTATGAGTCGGAACTAAATGACACATACACAACGTCGCGGGAAAAAAAAAAAAAAAAACATAGTCCGAGCCTGTCTCAACCTCTTGGAGACTCTGACTCAGGTTTCGCCATCAACAGGGGAATGGGGGGAAAGGGGACTTGGAGAGGGTGTTATGAACAGCAGGAATATCAGCCCCGCTGCCTGACCTCCGCTAATCGGGGCTTGGACTTAAGCCTGAGCCCTGTGCTCAGGACGGGACTCTCCGCTCAATCCGGATCCCTGAAGAGAGACAGGCGGTGGGGGAGGCCTACGCCCAGCACCGGCAAGGAGGTCGCAGAGCAGGAAGCCGGGGAACCGCCAGAATGGCAGGATGGGACAGCGCCGCTGGCGGGATGGGGCGGAGCCACGAGCGGATGGGCGGGGCCGCTGCGGAATGGGCGGGGCCGGAGGAAGGAAATGCCGGGGCGGGGAAACTGGAGTCGGTCTTGCCCTAGGGGTGGTGTCAGGCGCCGCCGGAACTCGGTTCACGGAAGGCGACGCCGACCAGGCGCTCTAAGGAGGGGCGGAGGCGGCTAGGCCGCCTCTGGGCTCCTTGTGAGCGCGCGGTTTCTAAACGTCGGGAAGGGCTGGGCTTCCTGGGAGCGGTCGGTGGGCGGCCCGGTAGCCGCGGAGAGGTTGCATGTGTGTGTCATTTTTCGTCTCCTTTTTCCTCCTCTTCTCGGTCTCCCCCAAAAGCGAAAGGTGCAAGGGCAGGTCGCCTGTCCTCCACTCTTTCTACCTCCAACGCGTGTAGGGCCCCGAGAGCGCCTACTCCTCTCTGGACCCCTCCAGTTAAAGCGGTCGCTGGGGACGCCAGTATGGACATACTCCTCAAAGATAAAAGTGTTTGTCCGTCTCGAAGTTAGTGCTTTTAGGGAAGGAGAACACCCTGGGGCAGAGGGAATTCCAGCGGGAGGGCCACAAGGAACTCGCGGGTCCTCACAGAAGGTATTGATTTCGCAGGGTGCTTGACCTCGGAGTTTAACCCTCCCTGAACTCTCTGCCCATCCGGAACAACTTTGCACCCACATTAAATGCATTGCATCCTGTTTTGTAATCTCTCATCCAGACCCTCAACGAAAGTGATGCAGATTTTAGGGCTCCTGGAAGCCTCAGCCCAACCTCTCAATGCAGTCCGAATCCCGCGGGTGTGAAGAGGAGGTCCCTTCCCTCAGCTGGGGATTGGATCCTGTGTTTCTAGCCTTTGCAAAACTCTACGTCAGAGATATCCTGGACTTGAAGGAGTCCCAGCAGGTGCCAGGTATGTGCCTGCATTGGATGCCCTGTGCTGCCTCTGCACCATCACCAGCAGCCCTTCCCCAGAAGCTGCAGAAAGCAGGGCTGAGTGCCTTGCAGGAGAGCCTTCCCTGCTGCGGGCTTTGAGAATGATCTAGCTTGGACCCTCTTGTTGAGTCCGTTCCGACTTACAGCGACCCCTTGTGACAGAGTACAACTCCCCATGGGATGCTATGAATCGGAATCGACTCTATGGCACAGAACCACAATCTTTACAGAAGTAGATGGCCAACTCTTTCTTTCTTCCAAGGAGCTGCAGGGTGAATTGAAACCACCAGGCTTTTGGTTAGCAGTCGAGCTCTTAACCATTGTGGCCGCCAGGGCTCCTTAGCCTGGGCCCTGTTGTTGTTGTTTGTTGTTGTTATGTGCCATCACTCATAGTGACCCCTCCTTGGGTTTCCGAGGCGGTATCACTACAGAAGTAGATTGGTCGACCTTCCTTGCCAGAAGTGGCTGGTGGGTTTGAACCGCCAGTCTTCTGGTTAGCAGTCAAGTGCCTTACGCACTACACCACCAGGGCTCCAGCCTGGGCTCTAGAGTGATTCAATTTCTATGTAAGTTAAAAACAAGTCTAAATCTTTGTTGTTTTTTTGAAAATTGATACCAGCTGGGAAACCCAAGGAGGGATTGCTGTGAGTCGGTCTGACTCATGGCACATTAACAACAACAAAGATACTCGGAGCAGTAATTTTTGAACAAAAATAATGTTTTTACCTGAGATTGAGGTCTTTCATATTTAAAAATGGTCAGTTGTTTTTCCTTGTGTCAGCTCTTGGTGGGACGACCCCTGGACTGGGCATCCCTATGCCTGACTCTGGATCCAGATTATGCCACTGACCTGTTCTGGGTTATGACTCAACTTTTGGTTTCCTTGTAGGTTTTGGTTTTGTTTTGAGTTAGTCAGAATCACATGTTCATTACAGTAATCTCAGTACTCAGAACAGTGCCTGGCATGTCATGGGCCCTCACAAAATAATAATTGATGGACCAAAACCTTGTAAATGTAAGATTAGGAAACTTTTATTGGTTACTGAAGGAGCTTTGGTGGCTCAGTGCATAAGGCATCTGACTGCTAACCAGAAGGTTAGTGGTTCAAACCCACCAGCCACTCTGTGGAAGGAAGACTGGACAATCTACTTCTGTAAAGATTTACGGCCTCAGACACCCAAAGGGGGTCACTATGAGTTGGAATCAACTCAGTGGCAGTGAGTTTGGTTTTTTGGTTTTGGCATTGGTTACTAAAGATCGGTTCTTCATACCTAAGAATATAACAAATGCAATGTGGGGATGGATTTAAATAATTCTTGTAGCTGTGGGTACATCTTCACCTGGACACTGTGTATATGAGAAGTTTAGATAAACTGTGCTGTTTTGAGTGACACTTTCCAGTCAGGGGTGTTTTGAATGGCAAACTATGAGTCAGAAGTAGTCAACAATCTGAAGAGTTCAGAGTTTAATGAGTTGAGTTTTATCTTTCCACTTCCATGTACAAATATAGTTGAATGACCTTACACTAAAGCCTTTTGTACAGATACTTTGCCATACCTTTATTTCCTAATTATTGCTGGAAATGAATTGTTTTTTTGTTTGTTTGTTTGTTTTTAATCTTGGAAGGCAACCAGCCTCCCCCACAGTTGTCTTTGTCCAGAACAGTCTGGTATTCTTCCTAGATCATCTCCTCAGGAAGAAATTGATTCCATGCTGACAGATCTTCTGTAGGTGCTCAAGAAGGTGTCATGGAGATGACAGTGGCCTGTTGGAAGAGCTTAACTCTTTCTGTGGGCAAAGGACCTTATGCTGTATTCAAAGAGCCCAAAGAAAACTAATCCTGGTGATCTTTGCTATCACTGGTGATAATACCTCAGATGTGTGTTTTTTTAAATGAAATATATTGGTTGAAACAAACTTCAGCCATCTTTTCACAGAGTGATCTTTAGATTATACTGTAGAGTTCTGAAGGTCCTTGGGTGGCAGAGATGCTTTGTGCTCAGGTGCTAGCCAAAAGGTTGGAGGTCTGAACTCGCCCAGTGGTGCCACACAAGAAAAGCCTGGCAGTCTGCTTCCATAAAGATTAGAGCCAAGAAAACCCTGTGGAACTCAATTCTACTATGAAGTCACCGTGAGGCAGAATCAACTTGATGGCAATGGGCTGGTTGGGACTCTGGGTGCAAGTAAGAGTAACCAAGCAGAAGTAGCTTAAGCCAGTCTGAGGAATTCAGGTCAGACTGTTGGGATCCACAGCAGGGAAAAGCGTCAGGAGCCAGGACAGCCCCGGGACCTTGTTAGGATTGGGTTCACCGTTCCCAGGAGCCCTGTGTAGGTCCTCTGCCTGAGTCAGAAAAGTCTTCCTGAAGTTTCTCCTCTGCTGGAACATGACTGCCATCCTTGGAAGTCTAAAAGAGTTTTAAAAAGAGAAGCTTTTGGGTTGTAATCTGCTGGCCTCAAAAATAGTGTTTTGTAACCTACTTAGCATTGTCTCTCTTTTTTTAAAAAAAAAAAAAAAAAAGGAAACTATTGCCAATTCATAGAAACAATGACTGGTTTCTTAGAAAAGCACTTGCAAAAAAAGCCAAAGAAGCCTTTCTCGTGGTTTCTTCTCTCTTTTTTCCAGTCCCTCAAAATACAGTGCAGCAGACATCTGTCTGGTCACAATATAATTACTGTTTTTAGGTCCCTTTGTTCTGTAAGGAGCCACATTTAATTTTTTTTAAGTGGAAAGTAGATTAATCCAATCAACTTTGGAAAAATGAGTTTTCTCTCTTTTGCACTAGTATAAGCTTCTTTCAGGTGAAGCTTTCTACTTATGACCCTTGTGGAAAAGATCTGAATTTGGCAGGACTTTTGGTTTTGCCATTCCTCAAGTCTGGAATTTGAGCAAGAAGCATGCCACTGATTTTTGACATCTAGCCCCCCTTCAACACAATTAACCCTTAAGGAAGCAGACAGTGTACAGGTGGTCCCTGACTTACAACATATTTTGTGTTATGATGAACCGATTTAACAACCGTACTTTTTTTTGATATGTTTTTAGTAATATGTACTACATACAATGTTACAGTTTATAATTTACTGATGTTATCTTTCTCAGAAGTTCACTTGCATGGGTTCAATGTTATGATTTACTGTTCAAACCGCTATCATGTTTTAAAATGAAAACAGGAAAAAAAAATGAGTTATCTGACATCAGAACCTACTTCTGACAGAGTCATTAGAATGGAATCCCATCGGGGACTACATGTACTTATAAAATAAGTGGATTTTGCCTTTTCTTTAATTTTCAGGTATATTTTTTTATAATGGACATCCAGTAAAACAGGTAGATATCTTGGGAACTGTAATTGGAGTGAGAGAAAGAGATGCTTTCTACAGTTACGGAGGTAAGAGCGATTGTGTCTAAGATTTAGTTTACGGGTCAGGACCCTTCTTAGCTCAAAGTGGACTTTTAAGCAACTGCAGCTTTTGGGAAGAGCTGGGAGAGTCTCACAAGATGCACTTGACTCTTCAGATGAAAGGACTGAGGCTGTGTGAGGACTGGCCCTAAATCGAGCTCAGGGACTAGACCTGGGGTCTAAAGGGGCTTCAGTTATCCCCCTTTCCCATTATAAAATGATTCCAATGATAAGTGTGACTGTTCCTCAGTAAACATCTCCCACAGAGTGGGTGTCGTGTCCTAGAACAGGACACATCTGTGGGATCTGAGATAGCGGAAGGCATTGCAGTGTTGAATAAATTGAGAGTAGAAGTACTTTCAACTTACTGCTTGTGTAGCCTGTTCAGATGGAGAGCTGCCTCTCTCCCTGCAGTCCTCAGGCCCACCTTGGCTCTTGGACCACCTACCAGGCTGTCCTTAGCCCTGCTCCACCTGACTCACTACAGATCTGTGCTGAGTGCTTCCTGCGCACGCTGTCTGGCTCGTCCCACAGCTAAAAACAAAAGGCCTGTGGGCCAGGTGGCTTTGGAAAGGCAGTGGTGCTGCACAGCTAGACACTTAAGTGGCCTTGCAAGGGTGTTCGTCACTGGGCCTTCCCGCAGGCAGACCTCAGGGTATGTGGCACAGGCTCTGAGGGAGAGATAAAAACCAGCAGAAAGTCAGAGGGTTGGTAGCAGTGCCCAGGGTGCACAGAGCAGCTGGCAGCAACTCCAGCTCACACCTCGAATCCTGGGAGGCTGCAGTCAAGACTAGAATGACCTCACATTTCTAGAACAGTGTTAATATGCTTATTTTTACTCCTCTTCATTATAAATCAAGATTTTAAACTAGCCAGAGACAAGATGTGCCTAGAGTATATACATTTTCTTAACTCAGAATGTCTCCATGGATTTTTTTCCTTGTTAAAAAATGATACTTATTAATTACAAACTAAACTTTAAAACTAGAGAAGTTTCAAATGAACTACATAAAAGTCCTTTGTTGTTAAGTGCCACTGAGTGGGTCATAGTGACAACAGAACAAAACAGTGCCTGGTCCTGCGCCATCCTCACAAACGTTGCTGTGTTTGAGTCCATTGTGGCAGCCACTGTGTCAGTCCATCTCATTGAGGGCCCTCCTCTTTTTCACTGACCCTCCACTTTAACAAGCTTGCTATTCTTCTCAGGGACGTCTCTCTTGATAACATGTCCAAAGTGAGTGAGAGAAAGTCTTGCCCTCGTCACCTTTAAGGAATACCCTGGCTGTACTTCCTCCAGGAAAGATCTCATTGTTTTTCGGTCAGTCCATAGCACATTTGGTGTTTTTCATCATCACAACTCAAATGCATCAGTTCTTTGGTCTTCCTTATTCATTGTCCAGCTTTCACATGTGTATGAGGCAATTGAAGACATCGTGGCTTGGGTGAGGTGCACATTAGTCTTCAAAGTGACCTCTTTGCTTTTTGAACACTTCAAAGGGGTCTTTTGTCCAGTGCAGCACATGGTTTGATTTCCTGATGGCTGCTTCCATGAGTGTTGGTTGTGGAGCCAAGTAAAATGATATCCTTGAAAACTTCAGTCTTTTCTCCATTTATTGTGATGTTGCTTATTGGTCCAATTGAAAGAATATTTGTTCTCTTTAGGTTGAGGTATAATCCATACTGAAAGCTGTAGTCTTTGATCTTCATTAGTAAGTGCTTCAAATCCTCTTGTTTTTTCAGCAAGCATGTTGTGTCATCTGCATATTGCTGGTTGTTAATGAGTCTTCCTCTAACCCTGATGCCGTGTGACTATTCCCATAGTCCAGTTTCTTTTTTTTTTTTTTTTTTTTTT